GTGTGCTCCAATAATGCCAGCACACAGCCTCAGCACTTGCAAAACATTGGATATATATATTGGCTCTTCTCATATTTGCTGACTGCGGGACAAATAGGTTTCATATTGGGACATCAAAATCTGTTTCAGCAACTGGATGCATGACAAAGCCATGTTATAATCAGAGTACTGATTACGGCATTGAAACATGTTGGTTCAGCACGTGGTAGATTTGGATGCGTAGGTAGATAAACTTTTGGTTGGTCTGTGGCTTGATTTCAGCATAGAGAAGGTTGTCAGCGTATTTGTGCTAATTAAGGAAACGGCACGGGAAGCTCCTTTACACTGTAGGTACAGCCAGAACTCAGGAAATACCATTGCTTCCCAATGTTTTTTAAAACAGCTAGCTTGCCTTCAAGAAGAGCTGCAGCTCTGTGTCTCAGCTGCATTTCTGAAGTGCGGCTAACTTCCTTTGGGTCTTGTCCAAATCTCATGTTTTTCCCTGTTTCTGAGGAATGGATTGAATAGTTACGTCACAGGGACATTAGGAGAGTAGCTAATGTTTTCTCTGTATTTGGGGACAGCATTGCAGGGTTGGAGTCTCTGACTTGTTTTTATGTGTTTGCAATATTGACAGTAAACTGAACACCAACAAATAAACACAGGTTTGTGCTTGTGCTTGGCTAGGACTTCCATGCTATTGAAAAGAATGCCTTTTCCCAACAATTGCTCTTTCTTCATGCTGGCAGTACTGTGGATATGTTGTGCTGCTTTTAACATATTCCTGCGTTCAAGTTCCTGATTAGGCTGAAATGTTGCCAGCTCTGTTAAGTCCTTTCTGTTGCACTGAGTCAGCTGCCCTGATTTTATCTTTGCTCTTGGTCAAAGTCTCACACTGTTATCTTTTTGTTCTTTTTCTAAACAGAAGAAATTGCAGTACAAGTGTTTGTTCCGTGTGCTAACATTTCCTCCTACTCTAATGACAAAACCAGCACATTATTTTTATCATTAATAGGACAGGTACACCTGGAAACCCCTGTTGGGTTTTTTTTTGTTTGTTTGTTTCTTTTTCCCTGGGAATTTACAGCCCAAACACAAATGACAGACAAAAACGGGAGAAGTGCCTTTATTTCCATTTCTGAGCAGGGAACTGATGTACCCACAACTAAAGGGACACTTAATTCCTTCTTATTTAAAGACCCTACAAAGAAGCATGGCTAAGAACACACCCAGGACCAGCCAGTCCCTCCTCTCCAGAGGGCTCTGAACACAGCGCCCAGGCCAGGACAGCCTCATGTCTGCATGCCCCTCCATCGGAGCAGAGGCCAGCGGCCCAGGGCTCTGCCAGCTCCTTCACTAGGTCAGCGTGGTTCTCCTGTTTCCTGGGCAAGTTGCTCCCAGGGCTGCTGGCCTCCTGCCCCCTTCTCTTTACCAAGAGAGGAATTGAGATGTGTCGACATCTGCTTCTGAGGGCTACCTGCACCGACCAGCGAAAGACTCCAAAACAGTGGTTGCTGAGGAAGGGCTGCCCTGTGTGAGGTTATGGCTGACCTTTCCCAAGTGCCAGTCCATGGGAATAACCTTGCAGCTCCTACAAGTCGTAGGTGGAGCTGGTTATAACCTGATTTGCCTTCCTTGGCATTTTGAAGTTGGTGAAACATGATGCATAATGACACTTTGCTTTTGCAAGTAGGAGTCTGCTTTTATGCCAGTGTCTCATCTGTGAACCTCACCTCAATGCATACTGCTTATTCAGATATAACCACGAAAATGAGAGCTGGCTAAAGAACGCCTCCGATTGAAAGGATCCACTGAAGCTCATTAAAACGATCTTAATGACTTCCAATTCAGCTGTGTCTGTGATACCAGAACACAAGGTAATTATGGAAGTGCTAAATAGTGTTATTACTTGATATTACAAAGAGGGTGGGGGTAAGGCCTGGCGAGTCCTTCCCCTATCTGGCCCAGACAAGAATGAGAGTTGCCTCTAGCCTTGAGGCCTGGGCAGGCAGCATGGGGCCAGGCCTGGCTTGGGCTGATGTTGGAACATGGCTCCTTCATGCAGCATGAGCTCTGGGGCATGGGTAGTGAACTGGGAGACAACAGAAAAGCCCACACACTATCATTTCAGTTTCCATCTTGTCTGCAGAGGAAGCAAATGTGCTGTCTTCCTGCTCTGGATTTGCTTCTCTTTCCCTCAGCTTTTTCAGTCTCTCCTGCAGCCCTGTTGGTCTGGCTGATGCAGATGGCAAGCAGCTCTGCTCACTGCACGCCTGCCTGCACTGGGAGAAACCTGTGCAGCGATGATTCACCCTCAAATGATTGCTTGACCCAGAGGAGGAGTTGATGATACATGGAGGCTGGGACACACCAGCCATGATTATAAGATGATTCACTGCCTGGGCTCTGCTGTTCAAAACATTCTCAGTATTGCAAGGCATGGCCACTCATGGAGGCTGCAATAAGGAAGTGATATTTGCACCCAGAGCTGCCACGTTCTCACTGAACCTTTCTGCCGCTGCCTCTGGCGTGATGTTTACCTCTCTGGCCAGGCTGATGCCACAAAGGTCTGCTGGCAGGGGCAGCTGCCTGGCGCTGCCATGTCGCCGCACCTCGTGCCTCTTGCTTACAGTGACCATCCTCACCCTAAGAAGGTCTGGCCCAAAGTGTAGTATACCCAGGCATCTGGTGTCCCTGCAAGGCCATCCCCTGCTGTGTGGAAGTGTGTCATGGAACAATAGCACTAGAGTGAGGGGCTGGTGGGAAGTCAAACTCCTTCCACTCTGCATATTCTGGCACGACATTCTTCAATATCCCACCTCTTTGTCCTTCACTCTTCCTCCCCCTCCAGATTTTCTCCTGCCAGATACCTGCACTCAGATAAGTGGGGAAGTCCTGCTTGCCTGGAAACAGTGCCTTACCCTCTGACCCAGGAGCTGGTACTGTTTGTGGAAGTATGCTGCAGGCACTGATAAGATTTGGGACTTGGAAAGTTTACTTATATTGACAGGGGCTTGGAAATGTGTTGGGGCTAACAAAACATGTGGTTGGTATTATTCTTTCCCTCAAGCTAAGTTGGGCTACGCGTTAGTCAGCAAGCTGGGCATTGCTGGGAGTTCTTAAACATCTGGTTTGCCAGTGACAAAGTTGCAAACCTGTAGCACTACACTCTTGACATTTTCTGCACAGTGTCCTGACCAGGCTGCAGCGCTGAGGAATTGTGCTCCATCTGCTGCTTTGTGCTGTTCTGCCTGGACTTTGTTCAGCTTCAAGTCTTCAGCTGTCACGCTGTGTTGCCAGCTATTCTACATGCCTAATGAACTAGGTGAACTATCTCTGGAAAATAATCTATCCAGTGGATTTTTAGCCCATGTTTCCTTTGAGGAAATTGCCTTCAAGCTGCCTTTCAAATGTATGTTACGTGCAGTATTACTTGTGCTTTGTCTAAATGTGTGCTGGCTATGGACGCTCTGGGTGCTCTTGGATGTAACTACAGTTTTAAATACCCTCTGCTGGTTATTCATAGCGCCCATGTAGTCATTTAACAAACACGGTGTTACTTCTGCTCTCTAAGTGGATGACTAACGCTCTTATAAATAGGAGGAATGCGATCTGAAAGGTCACGTGAATGTTCCCCATGTGAACATATCCCTAAACTATGAGATTTCTCATTCCAGGAGCATGCTTGCAAAAAAGGAAGTGTTCATTACTAGGAAAAAGAAAAAGGGTTAAAAACCCATTCAATCAATTTCTCTGCTTGAACTTGGACAGATTTTTGCAGTGTTTGCTTTTGTCTGCAATCTCCCTTGACCTGTTTGGGAACAGCCCTGATCTCATTTCCATGCCAGCACCCTCCCTTGGAACATAAGAGGACATATCCTCAAGTAGATGTAAGGAACTTCCTCTAAGTTAAGTTTCTTCCTAACCTCTTGCATATCCTGATGGAAAGCAGGTGCACTCCTAATACTGGATTCCAAAGCACGTGAAAAGAGTGCAGGTTTCTGCACAGCTTTCCTCAGCTCGGTACCATCAAGAGAAGGTGCCGTGCTGCCCAGACTGCTGGAGTGAAATGGGAGTGCTGCTTCCAAGGTCCCACAGGGTACAGCAGGGTGCACTGTTAACGCAGACAGAATGCAGCAGGTAGCTCTGCAGGCACTCTTGTCTTTCCATTCTGATCAAATGAAAACAAAGTAAGTGAGCGTTGCTGCTCTCCTGCTGCTGAAAGGTAAGAGGAAGGGTGGATCTGGGCCTCAAGAAGCACCACACCATTTGCCCCCATCTACAGCTCAGATTATTCTGGGAGCCTCTAGAGGGTTGAACTGACCCTCAGGCAGGTGGGCTGTGCTGATGGAGCACAGCAGGGCGAGCTGCCCTCAGGCAGGCACAGCGCCCAGCTGGGAGGTGGCAGTGTCTGGATCAGCACTTCTCCCTTCTACCTCTGCAGCAGCAGGTGTGCTGGTCTGAGCAGCTGGTGGCTGGGGTTGGCCTGTGGGACTATGCACTGGAACAAAGTGGAGTACAGGGTTTGTGCAGCTGGCTCAGGGACGCGTCCTGATTTCATCAAAACAAAGGCAGGGCAGTTCATTTGCTGGCTGAAGTCCGAGGTGGCCTGTGGGCATAATGGCTGTTAGTGCTAATAAAGCGAGCAGGAACTGGAGCTGCCCCCTGCCCAAGGAGAGTGGCTGTGGTGGTACAGATAAACCCCCTTTGCCCTCCACATCCATGTAGCCACATGCAAACCTGTTGGAAGCAGTCCCTGAGTCCCTCCTGAGGCGTGCTTTTCCAACAGGGTGGGAGAGCGCTGGCAGCCCTGTGCAAGGCTGTGTCCTGGGCTGAGCTGAGGGTTGGACTTGGGGAGGGCTGAGCTCCTCCTCCTGTGCCCTGGTTCACTACTTTGATTTTCTGCTCTAGATGCTGCCGGTCCGTCTGTGTTAGGCAAGTTACCTGAAGTGGGATATGATAAAAGAGTCTCTCTTCCAGCTTCATTTCTAGCCATCATCCCTTTGTTCCCTCTCTGACAGGAGGGTGGTAAGAGAGCCTCCTTATGCATGGAGCAGAGAGGGACCACCAGAAGAGGAGGCTCTGGGAAAGTGGAAGGTGGTAAAAGGCATTTGGCTATTTGCAGAAATTTGGCTTTGCAGTGTCAGGCCAATGTTATATGCATGCCATAGAGGTGGTATTCCCAGTCTTACAGAGCTTTATAATTTTGTCTGTGCTTATTATAGCTACAGAAACGCATTAACTTTAACATGTTGGCTAAAAGCTTGTGTCCTATGTTTTCCTCCTGCCAGCCTGGATCTTGACTTTAGGTTGCAGATTAGAAAGGACAGCTGAGGCTGCGGGTTCCACAGGGCAGTCTGTACACGGTCAGAAGTCCCAGAGATTTACTGGGCTGTCAATGATGTGCCTCTCTGAGCACACACTGTGTTTCCTAACCTCAGCAATCTCAGAGGTTTTATTTCAGTGAAAGATGGTGTATATAAATGATACTTGATTGAGAAGTACATATGCAGGGCTTACGAAACACCATGTGTGCCTGCACGCGCATGCATTAAAATAACAGGGCAAAGGCAATTGCGATGCTGTATTTACCTTCTGGCTCAGACTGATATACCTGCCTTAAGGGACTGCTGGCTCTGGTCTCTTGAATTCGTTCCTAGAAAAAATATCAGTGTGAAGTATCGTGTTTGTGCTCTCCTATGGCAAGCATCGGCAAGTGGTGTGTTCAAACTGAAATCAAGTGTTTCATCCATTTTGGCTATTTTGGGTGCACTGACATATATCTGTTTGTGGGTGCACAATGGTACAAATGCAGAAAAAGATGGAAAGAAAGGAATGGAAGGTGTAGTTACCCCAGGTCAGGGTCAACATGACGCTACAAGTGCTCTGTACATATGTGTTTGAAACCTACACACACAAACACATAAAAGAAAACATTCAAGATGTGGCATCAGGTTCTTCTACAGGGCAGCCACAATTACATAAAGAAATTAATAAGATTTTCTTTATGCTGTGGCACTGGCAGCCAGGTCCTCCTCCCTGACTGTGCTGGGGAGAAGAGCATGTTCAGTGAGAAGAGATGTGTGTTGACAGCCAGCACGACAGATACAGGTGCAGCACTGCACTGTGCCAGCCAACTGTCGAGAGCTACCATCACAAGTGGTCAAAGGCAAACCCAGCTACTAGATTTCGAGCAAAACTCAGGGACAATGGTTGGGAAAATACACCTGAATGCTCCAGATATGTTCTTTCCCAGTGCTGTCTGAGGCTTGCTCACATGGAGAGATGTGGATCTGGTTTTGCATGGGGCAAAGCTGTTATGTTACCAAACAGGAGGCATTCTGCAGAGGAGGGAGAGCAGTGCCCACGCTCCTCCATGGCTGCCATCTCTCTCCTGTGATTCAAGAAAAACCGAGAGCAAGCCCTAGAAGTTTTCTCCTTTTCCATGGTGACACAACAGAACAAAATAGGATTTCCTTCAAAGCAGTATCAGGACAGGCTTAGCTGCATTCTTGCAAGGGTGAATTCAGAGGCCGCAGAGTGGAATTTCCAAGTGCATTTCCCTTCCTACACCTTTCTCTTTCATCTTCATGAATCTGTGCCAATTTTTATAGAACCTCTTTTTCTGGGAGGGAATGGGGACAGAAGTTGATGAGCTATTCAGAGCTGAAAGCAGATATTCATGCTGCCAGAGGTAAGGCGGTATAAAAATGTGTCAGTGTAGCAGATGGCAGCACTCCTCTCTTCATGCCTCTCACGAAGCATCAAGGTGTGCGTGCTTCTCAGAGGGGCTGTGCTTCTCAGAGGCCGGCTATGAGCTGCGTGTTGAAATGGTTGCCATGGCACTGACTGAGTCTAAGTTAGAAAGCATGATTATCCAGAGTTGGCCTAAATAGCTGAAGGGAAAAGGAAAAGAAAAAAAAAACAAACCAAAAAGGCCAAGGACTTTCTGTTACTAATACAGACCCATTGGTTTTAGGCTGTTCCTAAAAAGGGAGCAGTGAGAAGGGAGAGGAGCTGGCAAGTGTGTCCTGCACCAGTCCCTGGTGGGCTACGACCAGCCGTGAGCAACAGCACAGAGCTCCTTTCTTAGGGGTTTGCTCCTTTGCTCCCTTATATCATGCCAGCGCATTGGCAAACACCAGCAAAGGGCTGCTGATACCACCAGTCCCAGTGGTTTGGGGAAGCCATGCTTCTCTGGAGTGGGAGGCAAGGCTTCAGTGACACAGAGTGAGCACTCACAGCGCTTTCCTGGCTAGCAGGTGGCACAGTCACATTAGGAAGTGTGGAGTTGGTGCACAGATAGGTTGGAAGGCCAAAGGGATGCACTGAGTTGCTAGCCTGGGTAGAGTGCTAACCCATGGGCTCCCTGTCCCTAGTGCCATATGCCTCTTCTAGCTCAGCTACCTCTGTCGGCTCAAAGAATGCCTCTGAAAGGCTTCCTGTCTTCATTTGGAGCCTGAGAGCTGGAGAATCGGAGCTCTTTATGATAATTCATTGCCATGGTTAATCACACTCACTTGTTAAGAAAAAAATAATTGCACCTAATATCTAATTTAAATGTGTATGGCATTAGCTTTCAGCCTCTGGCACATGCTGTGTTCTTCTTTTGCTATATTAAAAAAAAGAAAAACACCACGTCTTGAGATCCTGTGGGTTTTTGCTGTAAAGGTTTCTTCAGCACTAGAGTCACTTTTGAGCTTGTTTTTGAAGAACTGAATAATTTTTTCTCTCTAAGGATTTTCTTCTAGTTTTTCTTGGGGAAAAAGTGGAAGATTGACAGACTGAGGTGAAGATTTCTCAGTACCAATTCTGGATGGAAAAACATCCTCTCTGGGAGCTGCAGAGTGCCGCATCAGGGGTCCAGATGCCCGGTGTAAAATCAACAGAAGAGATTTATGCAAGCTGAGAGCATACAGGTAGTGTCTGCAGGAGCATAGCCTGTTAGCCTGCTTGTCTTCCCTCATAGCTTTCTGAAATAGGGAAGTTTAATTTACAATAGCCTGGGGTTGATTCTGCTTTTTAGAAGGTTGTGTGAGATTAGATATGAATCTACTCAGGCCAATCCATTACATTTGATCACTTAGGAAGGATATGCCTCTCCCCTCCTCTCCTTTTAAAAGTTCTTCCTTTAAAAGGAGGGCAGACCAGCAGTACTGTAGTTAATGGGTGCTTGTTTTGGCTGGCAGAGTTGGGGTGAGAGAGATCATATGGCCTACACTTTATGGTGAAGAAAAGAGAAACTCACAAGACACCTATTTGCCCTACATTTGCTGTTTGCTGTTATTTACAGGAGTCACTTCCAATTCTTGCACCTTCTAAATCCTTGTCATCCAGGTTTGAGAGCTGGGAATATCTTCCTTGGCACCAAGTCAACAATGGATCTTTTGGCACCAGCAGCCATTCATATTTTACATCAGTGTTTCTCTCTGTTCCTTTCAAACAATAATCATAAATATCAGCTTTCATTCCTAGAGCGCCTTTCATCCCAGGGGCTCCCAGAGCACTTTCCAAGCTTAACGAGCTTATTGTAGAGCTCTCCTTTATACAGGATAAAAGTTGCTTCCCATGGAGGTCTGACCTGGGGAAGAAAACCCCCAATTTATAATGTCTTCAATACCCTGGGGAGTGTTTGCAGCTGTTATTTACTGTACGCATTCCCTTACCAAAAATATTGCTTCTTACTCCTTCATCCCCCCCTTCTCCTCCAGCTGAATCCAGCAGCTCTCCATTACCTGGGGGTGGAGGAGGGTGAGGAGCAAAAAATACTTGTCCTCTTTGATCTGAGGAAGTTCTTTTATTTGCAGGAATCTTGTTGTTGCTCTCGACAGTTTCTTCTGGCAACTCTGTTTCCATCTATTTTCTCATCACTGGGGAAATGCCCATGGGCAAGGTTGAATGTCCTTCTGGAGTTTTAGCCAGAGAAGTGACCTTGCATGGTTGGGCTATGCTAAGGAGCACATGAGAAACTGTAATCCTCTTCAGCATAAACTCAATTGGCCTAATTTAAGTCATATTCCCCTGCATGCAAAGCAAAGTCACTTGCTTTACCTTATAGCCAGTGACCTTCCAAATGGTCCTTTATTTATGGAAGCAATAGGGTCAGAAGAGATGATTGTTGCTGGTAACTTTTAGAACTAAGGAATTTGTTTCCTAGTCAATCATATTATTAATTTTAGGGCAACTTACATCTGACTAGCATCAATTTGTTTTCATTGGTTTCAGGAGGACTCAGCGTTGCGGGCCCTGTCCATTTCATGACGCACAGAGCTTCCTTCTCTGCTGCTCTGCAGGCAAGTGATCTCTCCTCTACTTGGCTGACAGGGGCCCAGGTGAATTCTGGAATATTCCAACCTGGAAAGGACTTTGAGTCCAAGCCCTGGCTCCACACAGGACCATCCAAAATCAAACTCTGTGTCTGAGAGCATTGTCAAAATAGTTAATGAACTCCAAAGGACTGGGGCCATGATCACTGCTGTGGAGAGCCTGTTCCAGTGCCTGACCACGCACTGGTGAAGAACCTCTTCTTAATATTCTTCTTGAACTTCACATGGTTGATGATTATCCAGCCCTTTAATTTGCTGAAATTTCTCTGCAAGACCTCTCTGCAATCAGGGGAGTCTACAGCAGTGCATTCCAGACTTCAAGATGCATATGGACGATGCTTTCAGAAAAATGGTTTGCATTTTGGGTAGTCCTATGTAGAGCCAAGAGTTGGACTCCATGATCCTTATGGGGTTGTTCCAACTCAGGATATTGTATGATTCCGTGATTCTGTTCTAATTTAGTATCATCTGCAAGCCTACTTAATATGGATTCGAGTTCTGTGTCCAGACCATTTATAAAAGCACTGAAGAGAACTGACTAAAATGGAGCCCAGTGGAACCCTATTAATGACTGGCCACCAGCTTGATGTAACCCCATTTGCTGTAACACTTTGAGCCCGACCCATGAGCCAAATGTACACCTGTTGCATTATGTCTAGCTGGATGCTGGACATTTTGTCAAGAGGGATACGGTGAAAAAGAGTATTAAAATCATTGTTGAAATCTAAAAGATTACATCAGCTGGCTTCCCTTGATCAACAAGGTGGGTCACCTTGGCATAAAAGGAAATTAAGTTTGTTAAAGAGGACTTTCTCCTCAGGAACCTGAGTTGGTTATGATCAACAGCTGCATTGCCTTTCAAGTGTTTTTCACTAAATTCCAGAATAATCTTCTGCATAATTTTACCAGGCACTGAAGAGAGACTGACAGGCTTGTAATTACCAGCATCTTCTTGCTTACCCTTCTTGAAAACTGGGACAACATTTGCCAGCTTCCAGTCAGCTGGGACTCATGTGGCACGTGAATCTCTGTTGCTTCTCCAAGGACACACCAAGAGCCTATGATAGAAAGAGGAACAAAAGCTCTCTCTCTGGTTCAGTGCTTCAACTGCACAAATGTAATTTATCAAGATGGTATTTAGATAGCCTTAGATAAAAGATACATCAAAGCATACTTTTGGCTGCTGCTCTCAGAAGTAGCAGTAAATCTCCCAAGGGAATGCAAGTAGTCAGATATGATCCAAGTTATCAAAATGCTCCATCTCTTCACTACCCCTCCTCCTCTCACTTTGGTTGAGTTGACAGGGAAGCCCTCTCTTGGGATTGGTGCATCATCTATTACCATCAGTAGATTTTAATTCAGAAATTTGTGTTCATTCTTTTCCAGCAAAATGCTATTTCAACACTAATTCTGAAGAACTTTAATTTTGTAAAGGATCCAAGAAGAATAATGTACCAACCATTATGTTTATTTTGGCCACTGTGTCTAAGTGATATTAGCATTTCTGAGAGGATTCTTTCATCAGTGAATAAAGCTTTGTACCTGTGAGTAAGATCTTGCTCAGAAGGTCCTGAGTGCTTCCTTTCCTCTATCAACAAAGCTTACAAATATCAAGAGATGGTTTTGCAAGGGAAGGTAGTGCACATCCATTATTCAAGATAAGAAAAAAGCTACTGGAAAAATTCCGTGCCTATTGCCAAAGGTGCAATGAAAGCAGCACTAAATTTAAAGAAAAACTCTTTATTTTTTTTCATGTGCCATATTAGTTTGTTTAATTAATTAGAGACCTGAATATATATGTATTCAAAGTGGCTCCCCTATTTTCTTTTGGTTTTGATTTTTAAGCTAAAATCCTACAATACAACTTCAAGCACAGTGATTAGTTCTCACTGTCACAGAAAGACAAGCAGACCTGCACTAGCAGTAACAACGACTGCTGAAAATATTTTGCTCTTTCCAGACCATGACCTCTTCTGTGGATGTCAGCAGAATAAGCATACTTTTATAAAGTACCCTCAGATCTTGCCTTCCCTCCTGCTGTTTTGTCACACTTCTTGCAATTTGCCTTAAATTACTTGCTTTCACACCATGGTGCATGGTGCTGTTTATTTAAAAAAAGCAGTTTGTTTGCTCTGCACAGACCCACCTGGGATGCAACAAGCATTGGAAGTGGATGGATTTTCCTGCCCTGCGAGCAACTAGCTTTTTTCCCATCAGTTTGCTACAGGTCTCTCAGTGATGGAGGAAACACCCATTTCTGACAGGAGGCTTTGACAATTGCCACTGTCCAAATTCACATTTGAAAAAAGATGACATATGTCTGGCATCCAGTTTGCTTACAAGTGCCCCTTTCATATGGAAGATGATAGGACTAGAGGGAACAGCCTCAAGTTGCATCGCTGGAGGTTCAGGTTGGATATTAGGAAAAATTTCTTCTCCAAAAGAAAGGTGAGGTGCTGGAATGGGCTGCCCAGGGAGGTAATGGAGTCACCATCCCTGCACGTGTTCAAGAATGTGTCAATGTGGTACTAAGGAACATGGTTTGGTTGGGAAATACTGGTTGGACTAGATGACCTTGGTGGTCTTTTCCAACCGTGGTAATTCTGTTATTCTATAATACTTTGTGAGCAGCGAGTCTCAGCCATCATTTATATGGCAGAGGAAGAAAGAAAGTATGAATGCAATGAGGGACCTAGGACCATAGAATCATAGAATTATTAAAGTTGGAAAAGACCTCTAAGGTTATCTAGTCCAACCATCGACCTACTGCCAATATTGCCCTCTAAACCAGGTCCCTAAACTCACCCTACATTTACAGCTCACTCTTCTATGGGAAGTCCTCTCAGAGGGCTGTAAATGTGAGGTGTCTCTCGAAGAGTTCTCTGCTGGAGCTTCTTACCACCCCCATACACTGCTGGGAGGAGGTTTGGTTGATGCTAAAGGAAAACTCTGTGGGCTATCTTAAAATGAGTGAGTGGCTGCTGAAGGGCTAGTAGTGTACACCAGGGATGTCACTGTGAGCAGCCAAAGAGGAGGCAGCATCTGCTCTGCCACAGATAAACACTTCCCTACACCTAACCAGGGTGATTTCCCTTCAAGCTGAGGTGTGAGGCCAGCTGTCTCTCACATTATTGCTTCCACAGTTGAGATAAGGGTATTAGGGGCACTGCCACCTAGGCAGGCAATCTTTAACTGCAGCTGCAAGTTGCCTGTTCTAATGACAACAAGCCTGGGTGGTGAGGAAGAGAAGACAGGTAGCAGCATTGATACTGCATAATGTAATGTGATAGCAGATATAAATGTGACTCATTCTAGCCAGAGGCTTTAGAATAGGAAGTTGGATAAAAGATATAGAAGCAATGGGATTTTTTTTTCCTTTTCAGCGAAGGTCACCGCCAGGAATAGCATGGGAAATAATTAATGGAGGAAGAAATATTCTCCTTCAGATGAGAAGTATTGTCTTGTTCTGCAGTTCTGTTCCCATACAGGGGGTCTGGTAACAAAGCCCAGCATGCAGGGCTTTCTCCCTGGTGCTGCTGATGGCACCGCCTGCTCCGTGCTCATCCTGCAGAGATGTGGGAGGCTGTGACTGATACGCTGTGCCGGCAGCACCTCCAAGTGTAGACCACAATGTGACCTGAATGCTGTGCAGGAGCGTGGTGCTGCACTTTAATTCCCTCACCTTGGAGTGGAAATGGACTTGCTCTCAGAGCTCCCATGCGACAGAGGAAAAACCTATTACAGGAAAGCTACAAAGAGCAGAGGTAAGCTCTTACCCACATTTTCCACTGGTGTTACTCGCTTTGGAGAGTCAGCTCATTTCGGCCAGGTTCCCAGACTGCTTTTTGGTGTTCATCCAAAATAAGACTGCTTTGAGCTTTCCTACCCCCAAATGGCCTAACTGAAGTCAAGGAATGACCTCAGATGCACGGATGCTCCTCCACCTAGTTCTACAATGGGGTGGGGCTAGGACACAACCCCAGACTGGCAATCCTTCACTCTCTCAAAAGGAGTCACTTGAGGACACTGGATCTCAGTCTGGATCTGACTTTCACAGCTGTCCCTTTTCTGTGAAGTGATAAAATCCTGTTGCAGAAAGCTTTAAGTCAATTCAGAACTGTGGCCATGCATAAATGCTGGGACTCTGGATGGTAGTGCTTATAATGCAATTCAGTATGGAATATTTGGGAAACAAAGATCAATCCCATCCTGGCAATCTATCACTTACATGTTTTAATATTGACGTGAAGCTTGGCCCTTTCACTCTACTTGCTTTCTCACTTTCTGAGGCGTGTATTGCTCTTCTGGCCACCTTTACATGGTCATGAGATTTGAGGTCACACACTTACCTGAGGATTTCACAGCTGTTGCTCCTTGAAATGACTGCAAGGGATGACTCAGCTGGATGGGGTGACTTGCTGCTCTCACATTTATTTTCTTAGCATCTATAGAGAGAGTGCTCTATAGATCTCCATAGTCTTGTTAAATATCATAACTCTTGCTGAACATGGGGTTTCTGGGCTATTTTACCATAGCTTTTATTCCCATTTTGGTAAAAAAAAAAAAAAAAAAAAAAAAAGCCTTTTAATTCAAGCTGTTCCTCCCCTCCCCTGCCGTCCCAGCTTTAACATATTTGCAGTTAGACTCTATCTGTGTTAGAAGTTGGTGTGGTGCAGTGGAAGCAGTAAATCCCTGATTAGATTAACTTACCATTACCTTATTTTGAGGTACGTTTGGGGCCTCTCATTACAAAAAAGGCATTGAGGCCCTGGAGTGTGTCCAGAGAAGGGCAACAAACCTGTGATGGGTCTGGAGCACAAGTCTTAAGGGGAGTGGTTGAGGGAACTGGTATCATTCAGTCTGAAGAAGAGGAGGCTCAGGGAACCTCATCGCTCTCTACAACTACATGATGGGAAATTGTAGCGAAACAGAGGTTGGCCTCTTCTCCCAGGTAAAAGCAATAGAACCAGAGTGAATGGCCTCAAGTCATATCAGAGGAGGTTCAGGTTGGATATTAGGATACATTCTCCGGAACAGCAGTGAGGTATTGGCTGCGCAGGGAGGTGGTGGAGTCACCATCCCTGGAGATGTTCAAAAAACATGGAGATGTGGCACTGAGGGACATAGTTAGTGGGCATGGTGGGGGTGGGTTAGAGGTTGGACTTGATGGTCTTAGTGGTCTTTTCCAACCTTAATGATCCTACGATTCTATGAGGTCCCATATGGTGCAGACGTGAACAGATCAGTTATTTGGGTAATAAAGCAGCTGTTTGTCTAGGCTGAGCAGTTCTCTTAGTCTTTCTTGAATATTGCTGATCAACCCAATTCAACCCACTGGCCCTTCCCCAGCCTTCTCCTTTTCCATACCCTTACTGTGCATATACATAAATAAACAATATGTGCTATGTGTTATGTATGTGTGTGTGTGTGTGTGTGTGTAGGCAGCTGTGCCTGCTGCAGGGATTTCCTCCCAAACAATACCTGTTGTGCTAGCCATTGCAGTTCTATTGGTTCCCATGCTCTGAGCAGTTTGAGTTTCCTGCTGGCTCAGCAGCAAGACTTTCAGAGCTTTTTATACTTAATCTTCTCTGGGAGCCAAACAGAGGAGTGCAGTTTGCCTATGAATAGAGAGCTGACTGGGCAGGAGGCAGGAAGCTTGCTTACCAAACCATGTGAACCTCTCAAGGGGAGTAAGGGGCACAAGGCTGCTGGCTGGGCTCGGGGAGGCACTGCTGCAGCCCTTGCCTTGCACACCCGCCATCAGCATGTGGGGCTGTGATGATCCTGCTCCAAAGGAGGGGAAATGGGTGTGAGATGGGAAGGGACAGAATGGAAAGAGAATGGTAGGAGCAATGCAGAGAGGGGTTAGAGAGTAGAAAAGAGTAAGGAGGCTTGATTTGTTTGTTTGTTTGTTTTTGCATGAAACCATGTACATGGCCTCCTTGCATAGAGCATATCCACTGCACCTGTGCTGCTCTTTCTGCTCCTGGCTCAACAGAAGTTCTGTTTAAATTGCATGTGTCTGATGACTGTGGCGTCTCTATTTTCAAGGCCCATTGTTTCTTGTTTTAAGACCAATTGTTTCTTTGCCTCCAGCCCCTGGGAACCCCAACAGCTTACTGCTGAGTTGACATGTTCTGCTCTGAGTATCTGTCCTCAGCTGAATCTGTTTGGGAAGCTTCAGCAAAAATATTTGTGCTTGCTTATAAGAAAGAGATGAGAGGAACAATCTTTTTTCTTCATATTCAAACGTTCTAAAATTGATCAGTTGAGAAATTCCAGCACTTTCAGCCTTTGGAGCAGAGACCTGAGATTTGGCAAATATCTGGAATTTGCCTTTGATTGTTCTTCACAGGGAAAAAAAAGGTTGAGCTAAGAAACCTTAGGAAAAAAAAACAACAGCCTCAGATCCTAGGCACTCAAGAGAAACTTCTGAGAGGCAGAGGCTGGATTCTCTGAAGGCACCTGCTCAGTGGAGACTTGTTCAGGTCTGGCAGCTGAATCACTGACGAGAGGCTGGGAGAAGTGCTGCAGCCTCATGCTGCAGGTGTGGAGCGGCAGCTCTTTGAATTTGTTTTTCCACACTGACAGGGATGCTGCAGTGCTGGAGCAGAGGGTGGAGATGCTCTCAGAATACCATGCTTCCAGCTGAGAAGAGATGCAACAGCCCTGGGGGTTTCTGCCATGTGGGAGTTCTCTGTTGTCAGCAAATATTTGGGGAACCCACTGACAAGGGCTGCAACTCGTTCCTGCCTGCTCCCTCAGCAGAGACTGATGGTTTGTCAGCATTCAGTTCATCTGCTTTTCAAGCACTGTGGAATTAACATGGGAAAACAAGAGCCAGTGCTGCTAGTGAGTCCCATGGCTGCTGGGACGCATCATGGCATTCCTGCAGCTTTATTTCAGTTTGCTGCCTGTAAATTGAGGAAATAACACAAACCCAAAGCAGGTTGAAAGTATGGGAAGTCTGTGGGATCAGGCACTCAGTAGTTAGGAAATACTTGATTTAAAATTGCCCTTGCCATCTGAGCACAGCTCCCGTTTGCATAGCCATTGTGATAGAGCTGCTTTTAGCTGCAGGATCGAATGCCGAAAATAGTGCCTCCTATTTTGTTTTGCTGGCCCACAGTGTCAGAAGAAGATGTTAGTGCTATGGCAGTATGGGTTGAACTTGGCCACAGGTGGGAAAGCTTCCGACAGCCACAAAGGCAGATTCCGGTTGCCTGGCTAAGTGTCAGTGCCGGTCTCTGAAGACTGAGGCACTTAATCTCTCTATTTGAACAGAACAAGCTAACATATATCTTGCTAATCTTATTCTGGGAGACAGTTGAATTATTTTAGCTTAAAATTACCAAAAGAGCCTGCCTGAGGCACACTTCCAGCACAGAGTTTCTCAGCATGAGCAGTTGAGCTTTGGCAGAGCTCTAAGTAAGGGAAAGCAGTCATTAATGGAGGCGTTATGCAACTCTCACTGCAGGCAGTGCTCAGGTGGCAGAATGGCAAACTTAGGCTCTGTGGATGGATCCAGAAGGAAGGAGTACGTGTGCTCATAGCATCCTGCCTCTGTGCCTTTGGGTAGCTGATTGGTACTGGCAAGCCACGGTAAAGCATGAAGAGAAATGTGGGATTTCTCTTTCCTTTGCATCTGTGGGCAAAGTAAAGGGAAGAATTTGAAACATGTGCCTTAAGCTATTGCTGGGATCTTCTTCCAGAAGACCAGCCCCTGAATAGTGGCCCTTCTTGAAGGAGGACCTCTTCCACCCACCGCTGATCCCTGGTAAGCCCCTCTCATGGACGGAGCCCACTTCTGCTCCTAAGGGCACCCAGATGCTCGCTACATGACAGGGACGCTCCCCTTCAAGGTGACAACATCAAATGATTTTATCACCCTCTACGGGATTTATTTACTCAACCTGTAATATTTAGTTATTTAGTTATTTATTATTTATAATAAATATTATAAATCATAACAAATATTATAATGTTAATATTTAGTTATTTAATTACTTAGTGATTCTGTTGTTATTCTTTGCTGAATGCTGCCCAGTTTGCCAATGTCTTCTTTGGCATGCAAGTGCCTTCAGTTGTTTTCTCTGTTCAGAGATTTCTCCAAATATGTTTCATTGCATTGCCCGTGTTCCAGGTGGGAGCTTTTTGGACGCTGTTTTCCTTCTCAATCCCCCATCTCAGAAGGATCATTTATGAGTCTAAAATCATAACAAGAATATACAGCTCAGTCATTTTTCCCTTCATCATTACTAAATCCAAAAGAACCCTTTTGTAAAAAGAAATGCTCTGTAGGTTCATATTCCATCATCCTGGGAAACAATTCCTTCCCACATACAGCTGCACTGAACACAGCGGTGAGTTGCACACAGCGGGCTGACAGGAGGACCTGGCCTCCCAGGCAGGGAAAGACAGAGGCACGGGGTCTCGAGGCAGCTCCTGTTGTGTTGCCCTAAGCAGGGGACTGGGAGCTGCTTCGAAACTGCAGGAAATATCTGATCCACCCAGTTTTCCTGTGGCTGCCATGCTGAGTTTTCTCTTTCTGAGATCTGAACCCTTTAAAGCTTTGTTTGCAGAGGTGAATGAAAATGAGCTAAAGCCTATGGAGAGACCTGGAAGCCATTTGGTGCAGAACAATCATAGAAATCTGACAATGAATGCGAGCTTCTTTTTAACTGAAAATAACATGTACATTTAAAGAGCAGAACGTGCATGTACGTTCACAATGGCTGCTATCAGCAGCTCTGGCACTTTCTCTGAGCATTAAGTCCTGGTCCTGGAGATTGTTGCTGCCCCTCAGGCTTCTGTCCATCTCTGTGCAGTTCCCTGCAGTATTTAAGCCCCATTAAGTGCATGCATTTTCTTTGGCTATTCAACTCCAGCCACTTTTGGGAAGAAATTGGTCAGAATCCTTGAACCTAAAATAGTCGAATGTCTGTCCTTCCACTGAAAAGGATCTAATTCATCTGACAAGCGGTGCAAAATGCAATAGGTAATTTAGTTCACGCATTCTCCAAGAAACCTGTTGTTTGAAAACCAGGCAAGTGGTTTGCACAGAAGCAGATAAGGTACTTTATGGAAGCCCAGCTTGTTGCACTGCATGTCAATATGTTTGCTTTCATAATGTGTGTGACTTTTATTATCAGGCTCTTGGTTTCTACCACTCTCTTTAGAAATATGCCACCATGAGCTGCTGCATGGGGAGTGTGGCCTTTCAGACACTCCTGAAAGTACCTGTCATGCTCCCAGAGAAATGTCTTTGTTCCAGGCTTGTTCTGAGCATGAGAATCAAAAATCAAACTGGAGATGGTAAAAATCAAACTGTTTCCAGCACAAGGAAACAGCCAAAGTTATTTTAATGAATATCTTTCCATACCTGCCAATCCACCCTCCCCTGCAGGAAAAACAACTCTCGAACGAATAGAGCATATGGCAAGGAAGATAGAGTGCCCATGCCAAGTTTGTCTTTGCCTAAGCAGAACTGGCTGTAAGATGCTGAATCTGCAGATCTTCCCTTGGAACATGCTCTTAAGGAGAAAAAGGAAGCACTTTCCCGTTGCTGCTTTAGTCTGGCTCCTGTGGTCTCTCTGTTCAAGTCCTCAATGTGCCGGATATTGCTGTGGCTGTAACTCCTGGACTCAGCTTGTTGCCCACCAGTATCTGTGTCACTGGGAGTATGGGAGCACTGCTGTATTGTTGCTGCCTAGAAGTGAGGTGTTCAGCCCAAGTCCCTTTGCCATGACTTGCTCTCCAGTCAGGAGGCAGCCACCTACCTCCACAGATTATTCACCTGATCCTAAAATAGGTGTGAGAGATGCCTTTCTCTCTCCATCAGAAAACTCTGGATGCTTGCTCAGACTGTGGCCAGCCCTCACGGCTTGGTCTGTCTGTGCACAGCATGGCCAGCTCAGCCCTATCAGAGGTAGCTTATGGGAGATGCATTGGTGGAGCACCCTGGAGCAGTGTGGGTACATAGGACCTCACCGCTCCTGCTCTGAAGGATGTAATGTGTCAGAGGAACTGTAGTTTTGGTGCTCCACAGCAGTATATATCTCTAGAGTTACAGCTGAGGTTTGAGTGGCTAAATTTAGAAGTTAGGCAACCAAGACCTTAACTGGACCTATCTCTGCTGGGACTGAAGCTATGAAAAAGTTTGTGTTGTTATTTTTTCTTTAGACAGTCTCAGACCTGAGGGGAGAGGCCACTGCTCCACCTGGATGCATGCCATGGAGGGACATCATGGGCCAGGAAAGGGTTCTTCTCTCTCAGGACCTCCTCCAGCACTTTGGCCTGGAGATGAAGTACCCACAAGTCAGGAAGGCCTCCTGCTGTGGACAGTGAGGTCTCTGTTTCCAGAAGGTAAAGGATACCCTGCAGGGTAACAAAATTAATGGCCTAGGGAGTTCCTTTGTTTAAATGAATGCTGGGAGAGGCAGCGGAGGAGGCTTGGTGTTTCACATGGTTAATGTTCCCTGTCCTCTTCCTAGTCCTCTCATGGCAACCTGTGTACTTTGCAATGCAAAGACACATGAATCTCTGCTCTACAGAAATGTAAATGTTTTGATAAAACCATTCTTAACAAGTTTGATTCGTTTAATCAGCTTGATTAACTGCAGAGCTTTATGCTCTTTAATCAGGAAGGATTCACTATAAATTATCATTTCTTGCAGTTCTGTGAAGAACACTGTGGTGCACAGGATCCTGCTCCCTACCAGCATGGGAGGTTTCCATCTGGAGCACCCAGACTTGTCCCCATAGCCCCACTGCAGGTTCCTTGAGAGACTCTCTTCTTTCTTGCCTCTGCATCTCCCCAGTGATCAACCTCATCTTGCAGTGTAAGTTCAGCTTGCCTCTTCTTCCAGCAAAGCCCACAATAAAGGAAGCACAAGTATGCTTCACAGTTCTCACCTTGAGCCTCACAACTCAAACTGGGTTTTCAAGGGCTCGCTGAAAAAAATTCCCAGGCTTACCAGCAGCAAGAGTAAAAAAAAAAAAGTGTCGATCAGAAAATCTCAACTCAGGTCCACATCACAAATGTTTTTTTCTCTCTCTCATTTAGGGTGGCAGAGTGACAGGCTGTAAAGTAAGTCCAGCTGGAAAGAAGATCATTTTGTTGTCTTCTGTCCAACCTCATTTTTCAGCACTGAATGTCCAGTGGTGCACCCGTCTGAAACCTCCAAATACCTGGAGATTCCACACAGCAGTGATATTTTTTAAAAATAGACCACCTATTGTCCGTGCTACATTTCTCTGCACCTTTTAGTCAATATCCCAGATGAAAGAAACAAGCAGAAGATTGAAAACAACTGAAGTCTCCACTCAAATTTAGATTCTGCAGAGAGCTCCTTCATGCAGCTGGAGCTTTTATGAAGTCTCCACACCAGTGGGTTTGCTCTTCACACGGTATGTACTCATCTCTCATTGCACTGCAATGAGTGCTGCAGAGCCACTCCTCAGCAGGTCCCTGGGGGTTGTGATCAGAATGCATTGGCTGAGCAGCATGGTTCTGTGGCTCTCTTCAGTCCCAGGCCTTTATTCCTGCTTGACTCTCAAGTGGAATTGCCCATGAGATAACTGCATATTTCATACGAAAGGAGTAGTTTTTGTCCTTTCTCCACATTTCCATGGCCAAGCCTCACTTACTATCTGTAAAATTTTGCGCCCTCAGAACCTAAGCACTCATTTCTGAGAAAGGATTCCTGTTGTCCAGTTTCCACTGGAACACTTCTCTCAGTTGGCTGGCCAACTTCTCACACCTTGGCTTAATGGAGGTGGATCTCAAACCCTCTACTGCAAAAACAAAGAATGAAAAAATGCCCTTAATTTAGCATCCAAGCAGCTCCCCATGGGCAGGATCCAGGACCTAGGGCAGACAAAGTCAGGGAGAGGTGAACTTGGAAATGGCATGTGAGATCCATCACTGGTGGTGCAGGAAAGCTAGCAGGATGCTTGTCTGGCTCTGCAGCCAGAGTCCTGCACGCATTGCCTCCACAGGTGGGTGGTGCACGAGGAGACATTCTGCTTAGAGGAAGCCTGGTCTTTCCTCACCTTTGACATTTCTACGCAGTGAAAAAAGCTCTTGGCTGTTTTCCGGAAGCTAGGATTCAATGTTGTTTTTTTTTTTCTTCTTTTTCCACACAGACTAAACATTCATGTCATATCCTGTACAAGCAGTTGTTTCAATAGCTGCCCTGACAATGAAGGCACTTGGGCTTAAGTGGCGAATTCTCTGTGACCAGAACTGCTCTTAATGAACGATTACACCTTTGTAAGGCCAAAATGGTTGTTATTCAGCTTTGGCTTTTGACAGAAGCACTGAAAATGTTTCTGGATTTATGTGAAATGTTGTGCAATTTCTATAATACCAAGGTGGTATTAATGTGAAAAGGACACAATCTGTCCTTTTCACATTAATAGACTAAACAGCAAAACAGGAGTGGGAGGATTAAAGCCTCAGTGGTTTCATACTCTCTGAATCCATTGGAGTTTTACAGCTCTAGCAAGGGGAATATTCAAAAGCAGAAGAAATCATAGAATCATAGAATGGCTAGGGTTGAAAGGGACCTCAAAGATCATCCAGTCTCTATCCCTTGTCACCAGCAGGGTTGCCAACCACTGCTGCAAGCATCAGATCAGGTTGCCCAGGGCACTATTTATCATGGATGTATAAGATGGATATATAATTTTGGATGTATAAGAATATGTGTAAGAAAATGTCTAAGAATATACTAAATCTGAAACCATATATATATGAACTCAAATTGGCTTTTCTTTTAATTTCTTTCTCTTTGAAGATGTTGCTCAAATTTGGAAGGCTCTGGCAGGGGCAGGCAGGACTCTGGAGAAATAAGTGACCCTTCACTGAGGTGGAGAGGTTCAGTGCTGTCCTTCAAAATGGCTTCAGCCCGTGCTGCAGCAATGCTGCATGTGCTTGGGTTGGAGGAGGCTGCAGCTCACTGCAGTCAGAGGAAACGGAGAAAACTCAATCCCGGCTCAAGATGCAGCACAGTTCAGGCTGCTTTGAAATAGAAATTCTTACAGTTGGTTGCTGGATCCAGGGAGGACGCAGTAAGATGTCACTGATTACCTCCTGGAGAAGCCACAGATGACTGATGACTGTTAAATCACTTTTTCATAGTGAAAAGCACACGGCGGTGGGATCTGCACCGGAGGCTGTTGCATCACACGTCGTGGTTTCAGCAGAGCTTTGCAGAAAAAAAAATGAAAGTAAACTGTGTTATTTTGAGCCTGAGCAGTGAGTGAGTTCTCAGTATCTAAATGAGAGCTTTTAGAGTCAGCTCCAGGTGTTGCAGGAAGTGGTGGAGGTGACTCAGTAAATGTCACACTTCCCTCCAAGTCAGTTGTGCTGTCCAAAAATAACACTCCTTGGGCATCTGGCTGCTCGGCATGGCCCTGCTGTTTTCGTGGCACTCAAAACATTCCTGCTCGGCACTTTCCTGGTTTTGCACCACCTTCCCTGTCACAAGTGTTTGCTTTTATCTTCCTGTCTCTGTTCTTCCCCATAAAGCCAGAGACATGGCTAGTTGAGTTTTGCACATCTCTGAAAACAAACATTAATCCCTTTCATCCTCATTCCATAGCTTTGATGCATTTTCTTAAATATTTATGCCCCTTGCCTGACCACCGTTTCCTCTCCTGCTTCAGCTCAACACATTTCTCACTGCAGCTGCCCTGTTGAAGCATTGCTGAGGGCACTGACCACACACAGGCTTAAGCAGGCAGACAGCAGTACAATGGAAAAGAGAAACCTTTTGTATCTGGCGGTGTGGGCTGTCCCAAGACAGCACCAGATGGAAAGAGGAGAGGAGCCAGGAATACAGAAAAACCCCAAAGACTGTGTTAGGTTAGAAGAGAAAGTGTGAGCATGTCATCCCAAATGCTCCCTCCCTCCCAACTTAGGAAACATGAATGGGCCCACAGCTGGAGAACTGCATAAGTCAGAGCATCAGATTTTGGTGCATTGGTCAGCTACAGGCTGAAAGTGCCAGATCAGTGGAGGCATTGGGATCTTTGCTGTTCTTTATGGACAAGTCCCATAAATTTCTGCAACTGCTGCTTGGTTTGGATTTTGTAAATTGACACTTTTGTTTTCATCTGGGCCTTACTTGAGAACGATTCTTATGACAGTTGTCTAACCACTGGGTTACCTGCTCCTATGCCTGCAGTAATGCTTCAGACTAGGTACTGCTGGCTTCTTAAAACTAACCCTTATGCTCTCTTACCCACAGGCATCTCAACCCTACAGATGTTATCTCACAGAAGTGGGTTGAGTGCTGGTCTTGGAGAGGGATGCCCAAGCTATGTCATACCTGCTATTAGAGATATGGCCATACCTCACATGCTGGTGGTGAAACCACTCTGGAGTCCTGTAACAGAAATGCTAAGTCATAGCCTGAATCAGTGATTGAGCACCTGGTGGGAAGGCAGGACCAACCCAGGGGAGCTCAGGTGCATGCAATACATCTGAGTACCCAGAAGGAGTGGAGCCAGGATCCACCTCTTCCCAGACCTCATTTAAAGGTTGGCAGGGGGGGGAAATGGTATTTTTCTGGGGGTCCCTGCATTCCTGAGGTCTTCAAAGGGTAAGTAGATTCTTTCCTATGTTACTGTGTCTACAGCTGCTGCATTTGAGCATATTCTCGCTTGGTGCAGGTTAGGGCTTCACTACTATGCTTCCATTGCTATGCTTTCCACTGTGTTATAACATCACAAGCCCCTTGCTGTAGTATGACCATCACCTCTTGCTTTTACAATGACAAAGTTTCCTATCTTTCTATCAGCAGTTCTTGGCTGGAGCTACCTGGACTGCATGTCAGTCCACACAGCTGCTGTCTCCTCAAGGAGGATGGGCTGACTGAGAGATGAGGTTGGACCCTGCCCTCTGTGCTCTTACTTGTGCCTCCTGCACTGTGTGGTGGAGGGAAGTACATGGGTTGGCAGCAGTGGGGAGAGCAGCAGGCACTTATTCTGCAGGACATCAGGATGCCTGGAGCTTCTTGGGCTGCTTGTACTAATTATGGTGAACAGTAGTGCTGTGACTCTGTCCTGTACTTGCCCCTTCTCCTCTTCCGTTTGTGTGCCCAGGTCAGAGGGATAAGGTGGATGTGCTGCTGTTACCAGCTTGGTTCAGCTGGAGAATGCTCTACAGAGCAAACCTTCTTGTTGTTCCCACATATTCTGCTTTGGGTTACGTCATGGGGTGGTCTCAGAGTGCACAGGCTGGATGCATTGTGCAAGAAACCAAAATGGAAGGTGCTCTACAGGATCACACTGACTGTCTGCAGAGCCATGCTGCAGTTAGCCCAAAGAAAACCTGTAACTGTATGCTGATGATATGGATATCAGGCCGTCAGCCCCAGTGCTGTGTGCCAGACTCATGCCTACACCGGGCCTGCAGTCTCCGGCCACAGTGCTGCGGGTACCTCAGGGCTGAGAGCTGGTGGACAGGCACAGGGCATGATCCCAAGGCACAGCTGTTTCTCCTGGAGTTGGTACATCATGGGCAGTGGAGTTTTCATCTGTGGATCAGATGGGGGTCATCTTAAGCACTAAGTACAGAAAATGGAGGCTGTTCTCATTCTTGCTTGTCCTGAGGAGACTGTTTGTTGGTGTCTCCATTTTGTGTTGTCTTTCCTCACACAGATTTCCAAGGCCTCTGTTGTTCTGCAGTACAAGTTTCTACCTTTTCACTGACTTAAATGAAGGAGCCCTTTGGAGAATGATGTTGCCTGGATCTTAAATACTCTGAAGCATTTGATCATGAATTTTGGATGCGTTCAGGGCCAGATTTGCTGATTTACAAGGCTTATATTCCTGCTCTTCAAAATTTGGGAACGTGGGGGTTTTGGGAGGACTGTAGAGGGGCTTGATTCAGCTGGCAGTGACATCAAGGTGGCTGTACACAGCAGCATGCCTGCACAAGGCCTGGCCCTGCAGTCTCCAGCTGGGGTGGGCAGCCATGGCTGGTGATGATTCAGTGCTGCTGAGCTGGGCAGTGTGTTCCCTCAGGGATGTGCAAGGAGCATGGGGTGGGGGGGATGCAGCGGGCAATGGGCTGAGACTGCTATCCTGCAGAGCTGGTAGGACTATTGAGGCTGTGGCAGGGCCTAGAAGGCTTCTGTGGGGCATAAGAAGCACCAAAGCACTGCTGGCTGCATTCCTCTGGGTAAGCAAGCTGTGTGTTGGGCTGGTGGAGCAAAGCTTCATTCTGTCCCGTGGACCACTGTGGAATTTTCAAGGCAACGTGGATGGTGTGGAGATGCCTGAGTATGTGGGATGGCTCTGAGACCTCCCCAGCAGCTGTGTCTGCTGCACTCATGGCAGGTATAACACTGCTTTAGCAGAGCTTTGCATAATTTCTTGAAGGGAAGGATTTAGCAAGACAAGAAAAGAGGAAATGCAAATGTCTTCCTTTTATTTTTATTTTTTGGGTCGGGCAGCCATACGCTCACGGTGCCTCCATTCACTCCAGCAGCTGCATATGGTAGATGCAGTGACCGGAAGCTGCGGTCCAGCTGTGTGTGTGTAGATGATGCAAAGTCTGGAAAATAACAAACATGAGCTCTCCAAGCAGGGGCATGGCCGTTACTGCACGCGTGCTGTAATTCAGGAACTAACAGATGTCCCCAAGCTTCGTGCCTGGCCCAAAAGGGACATAAGAAGGGAACTGGTTCAGGGTTTATGCACAGCTGCGCGGATCAGATGACACTGTCAGCTGAATCTGCCCCTAGCCAGTCCTCATTTATCAGAGCAGGAACCCTGACCTTTATTTGGGCACAGAAATACCATCTTGGAAGGCTCTGCAAAGAGGGAGAGCAAGGGCCATAAGAATCCAAGGCATTTCTGTAAAGAAGAGTCTGGTTACAGACTGAGATATGCAGCCCTCCATAGCTGTATGCTCCTCACTGGAGTTTGCCAGAAGCAGTCCCAAAGGATGCTTTCCAGGGGCCAGGCTTGTGGAACATTTAACATTTCCACTTACGTTTATCCGGGGTGACAAGCACTGCTACACACGATGGTCTTGTTCCCAACTCTGCAAGGCGGGGGCTCAGACTTATGGTAATAAGAGGCTGTTTAGTGGCCAGCCCAAAATGAGTTGGCAGCTGCCATCAGGTCCTGTGTCATGAAACCACTGTACATTGGCAGCCTCAGTTCAACAGAACAAGCTGGGACATTTTTCTCAGTCTTATTTGGAACACAAAACCTGAGCTTGAGCTCTGCTTTCACATGGCATGGTGGCCGAAGATAGCTCTGCAGATCTGCATGGCCAGGACTTGACCATATTTCAAAACACGGCTGAAAAGGGGAAGTGGAGAACCCCTGTGGATTTCCTTTCCACCTCATCTTCCCGGGTTGGGCAAATGATGCCTGGGACCGTTATGGCTGCAGCTGAGATCTGAACATACATGGCCAGGGCACTGATGCCATGAGACAGGGCACTAGGTCTTCTCCCATTGGCCTCAGTGAGATAGTGGAGGAAAAATAGGCTGCAGCCTGGGTTGTACTGTAAGGTCTGACCATGGGAGAATGCTTTCTTTTAAGCAAAGGCGTTGCTTAGCATTTACCTATTCACAAATATTCTTCTTTCAAAGTCATGGAATCATTACAGTTGGAAAAACCCCTTAAGAGCATCTAGTCCAATCATCAACGCATCACCACCATGCCCACTAAACTGTGCCACAAATCCATAGGATAACTTTCTTTTGCTATTGTGTAAAGCAGCAGGGACTTTCCATTTGCAGAAAGAAGGGAGCATAGGTTGGTGGCTACAGCTCAGAAGTGCAGCTTGGAGATAAAGCATCCATTAACCTGCAGGCACTGCCTTGCAGAGTTCTAATTATGGGCAGCTCTTAATCCCTTGTGTTGTTTTTTTCCTAAAATGCACTGATACAGGCTGAGAACGAATCCTGAAAGACAAGGCACTCAAGGGGACATCAGCAGCCTCTCTGCAGAGCAGAGTGGTGTTGTGCAATGCTTATCTGAAGAAATCTGCAATTTGGAGTACAAGGAGTTTGTATCAAGGCCAGGTCTACGGCAGTAGCCCCATGGGAACTGTAGTTTCCCTCCCAAACATGACTTGATTCAAGACCTTGCTCTCAACCTTTGCAGCAATTTGTGTACCCTCAAATTTCAGTTTCATAGTTTTAGAAAGCAGCACAAAAAGCCCCTCAGAAGAGCAGGTAGAGTGCCGCCAAGCTGCATGGATGGTCGCAAGGAAATTGGTAGACTGGGAAATGGACGAGGAGAAGGTGCCAAGGTTAGAGACCATATAATTTATTCATCACAGGACTTGTTCTTCCACTTGCACACATTTCCTTCTGCATGGTGTCCTACTGTCTATCTCTGTGGGGTTGTGGGGAATGGCCACACATCTCGGTTTCCTCAGACGTCCTCTTTTCCCTCGCTTGTCCTGGAGATCCTGAAATGCAGTGGTGCCTGCACTGTTGTTTCGTTAATGCAGCTGGTTCTTAATGGCCCAACGATATTTACTTAGGTCCTGTGGCCCCACAGGGGAAAAAATGGCTCTTTTAGCACAAGAAGCCTGATGGAAAGGGTGGTTTATGAGAGGAACAAAGTTTTGGGAAGAGAGGAAAAGTCAAATGAGTGCAAACACCAAAGCTATTCCCTTGCTTGAAAGGAATACTAAGAAAACTTGCTCAGTGGGTCATGATGAGCTCATTCAGTCCGTTAGATTACTGGAAAAATCTTCCACTTTGAAAAGTATGCATGTGTCTGTGTTGAGTCAGAATCTGGCAGAGCCACTTTAGTACACATTTTTGTTGTGAAAAAGTCCCTTTTGTCTTTTGTGAACCTGAAAAACTTCTGGCCTGAGTAGGCTTTATGTTTCAAAGTTTTTTTTGCACAGAAAATGAAGGTGCTGCACTGTTGCATTTTGTAGGCAGTGTGGTATCTCTGGGCCTAAGGTGGGTCGGTTTTCTTACTTGCAATACTTTTCTCCAGTGTTGCGCATCCCTTTATTGCTGTCCAGGCAGCTTTTATGCAGTGTACAAACAGCGGTGCATGAAAACATTGCAGGCGCACTCCTGCACATGCTCACACGCAGTTCATGTTTCCAAAAGTTTGCTGTAAGCGTAACAATTTTTTTTCTGCTGAACTTCTTGGCATACTTTCAGTGCAAAGCTGGCAGCTTTCGTACAATGAATGCAGCCTGAAGTGTGGGGGCTCAGAGAAAATAAGGAGATCTGTGACACTGAGAAAACACAGTCACAGACACCACAGCCCTACGCTGGGATGAGCACAGTAGCTGCAGGGGAGGGGTCATGGTCAAATATGCTATTTCAAGCAAAATCTGAGAGGAGGATGTGTGCTTGGCCACAGGAAGAGCGTTGTCTTAGTCAGAGCAGTTAATCATGCAACATGAAGAGAAGTACGTATAGCAAGATTTCTGTTTCCAGCAGTTTTTCCTCCTCTGAAATGACTTGCATGTATTTTTGCCTTGCTATTTGCAGTATGGCAGCATCTGCGCCCGGCCTTAATGAAGAGCCGGCAGCTCCAGGCGGTGTGAGCCACGCTGCCGTCACCAAGCTAACCTCCCCATGCCTCTTGCAGGCAGACAGAGACAAGGAGAGAAAAAAAATGTCCGGTGACGTCAATGAAGACCACACTCTGCTGGATAATATTACTGTGTGCCTCAACCGCCCACTCCCTTTAATTTACTAGAAGCTAAGCAAGCTGTTTTGAAACCCATAGCTTCCAGCGTGTTTACGCTGCTCTCCCTCAACCAAAGGCTACTAATTGTCAGGAGCTTGAAAGCTACCTGATGCCTCGTTCAAAGCACTGAAGCAGAGGGGATTTCCATGAGTAATAATTTCAGTCTGTGCCTGCGCAGCACACTGTAGGCTAGAGTAAATTGATCCAGCTGCTTGCAAGGCTGGATGGAAAAGTGCCCAGGGGGGCCAGAGCACAGCACCAGATGGAGCTGGATGTCATCACGTGGGGCTCCCAGCTGCTGGGCATGCTCCAGCCTGGCTCCCAGCAGCAGCTCGGCAGGCTGGGCTGCACCGCTCGCAGCGTGTGGTTGGGTCGCCAGTGTGTGTTGCAACATCCTCTCTTGTGATGAAGAGGACGATTTTGGATTAGCCAGAACTGTTGTCGTCTTTTGCTCAGCTGCAATCTTCTCTGTGACAACGACTAAAAAAGCTTGCGAGAGGCCAGCTGCCTCCACAAATAACCAGAACTGGCAGGATTAACCTGTAACCCGGGGCGGTGTATACACACATCCCACCAGCCAGATGGCAGAGTTCAAAGATCCACTCACTTCCTGGCCGAGGTTGCACAAGTTAATTTTTATCCTTGTTAAAAAGAAGTAAGAAAATATAGCAATAAAATGTTTGCTGCTTGCTATCTCTGGTTTTAATCACCCTTGTTTTATTCCTTTGCATTTTGCTATTAAATAGGTTTGGGGGATGTTAGGAAAAGGCATTTTTTCTTTTTTGTGGAGATGTTTAAAATCCTGCTTGGTGTCTTTGTTATTTCACTGGGATATTTGTTGATCAATTCAATTTAGTCTTTTGGCAAGGAGTGCAAAATAAGAGGAACTAATTAAAATAGCAGGAATGCAATTCACTTTTTTTTTTTTTTTCTCTAAATGAGCAATTCAATTAGAAGCACAGCGAGAGCTGGCACCCTGGATCTGGAGGTTCCTATGTGGAGGCTCCCACAGGTCTGAGGCTGCTGCAGTCGGGGCCCTCTTGCCAGCGATGCGGGGAGAGCACCGCACTCACGCAGTACTGCAACACGTGGACATTGTGCCACCCATGTTTGCACACATGCTAGAGCAAAAGTCAGTGTATCTAACCATGAGGGCACTCTAGGTCCTTCCTTGGCCTTGAACATCTGACTTTCCTTACCTCAGTGGTAACTGTGACAAGAATGGCTGCAGAGTGTGATGTGCTGATAAGCACTGGTGTGCTCTGCTATCATGTGGATGTCATGATGTGTAAGCAAAGGTGAGCATCCCAGCCAGCAGATTGCAGGAGCGGGAGGGGAAGAGTAAAGTTCACGGGCTGTTTTCGTGAAGGTTTGTTCTTGCTGGCTGAGCCATTATTGAGCATGGCTGAAGAGCTGCTGGCAGTGCAGCCACAAGCCTGCAGGTACCCTTCAGGAGAGCAGCACTGGGAGTTCCAGGCACGGAGTTCATGATTAATTTTGCAGGCATTTATTGTGCAATATGTAATGGCCACCAGCCAGCTCAGAAGTTAAGCCAGAAAATGACTGTCAAATGAAACAGTTACGTTTGGCAGATCTCTCTGAAGCTGCTGTGCAAAACAGGCATCTTGAAGCTGGGTTTTCCAGATCTTCTGCACAGCTTGTTCTTGTATCATGGTCCTCTTCATTTCACCCTTTCCAGGAGATGAATTGATTTTCACTTGCACGCTGTGTAAGTTTTAGGTCAGGATTTTTCCTATGGGCAGCCCTCTCTGTGCCCTGCAATCAGCAGCAGCTCTCTCCTGGTGATTCGTCCTTTAGTGGTGTTGCAAGGAGCTCACCATGCTGTCTGAAAATAAACCTGCGTTTTCTCTGAGTGGCCTGTTGGGCCCAGGTGAGGGTGAGGAGCCCTGCCCCTGGAAATGTGGTGCAGTGGGCACCTTCCCGTGGTGTGCCCAAAGATGAGGCCGGCCAGCAAGCTGTGCTTAGAGGCGGTCTGGCATAAACGCCCCGGTGATAAAGCTTAATGTGTAACCAAGGGCTTTTTCTTCTCTGTCAGCACTTGGCAAGAAGACACTGTAAATAAGGATCCCTGTGAGTAAATAGATACGTGTGGAGAGGGGAAGGGAGCTCTAGAGTAAGCAGTTTTGAAATCCATGCAAGGGTTGCTTCAAGTGATAAGGTCGTTTGAGTAACCTGCAAACCATACGGATGCCCGGTTTCAAAAACAGGAAAGCATCTTATTTGAAAGCCTTCTGAGGCAACACAAAGGCTTAGAAAAGAAACTGACTTTGTGGTTAAGTGATTGTACTTCCTTATTGATATAATGATTGAGCTGGTGCAAGGCCTGACGGGATGGCGGTGCTGCTGACCGCAAGCCGAGCAGTTGTGATGACAAAGAGCTGCAACCGGCTGCGGGGCTTTTTGCAGGGATGAGAAATATCAAAGTTTCCCTTTTCATTTCCTCTTGTGCTAGTCTGAAGAGCTTTTTGTGTGTGTGTATGTGTGTGTGTGTGTGTGCGTGCGCGCGTTTTGTTTTGTTTTTCTTCTCCTTCTCTTTTTCAGAAAGAGCAAGAAACAAGTAACTAACCTATGTGGGCTGCCACCCTCCTCACGCTGCATGGGTAAAGCATGCCTTTGTGAGGGAATTAGCCCTGTCACACAGAATTTGCTGATGCTGTAGCATTTCCCTGCAGGTAAAACCAAGCCACATGCTTTCTGTCCGGTCTTTGTTTTGGAGTAAGAAAATGAGTTAGTTTCCATGGGATACAGATGGGCACATGTGAGGGGGATGTGCACGTGTGTGGCAGAGCGCAGCGTGATCCCTGCTGACAGCTGGATTTACCTAGCAAACAGCATCCTGTCTTACCCTAAATGACGCAGCTAAAACAGGTCCAGAACAGTGAGTTATTGGTGATTAGATGTGGGGATGTGCAGAGCTGAGATTCAGGCTTTGCCTTCCACAGGGTACATGGTTTCAAGCAAAGGTTGTGCTCCTTTGCCTTCGGTTTGTGTTTGTCCACTCCCTGAGCACAGGGCGGGTACCTGCATGTGTCCCGTTCCCACTGTGCTAGAGGGCATGTTTCTACCTCGCCATCGCCTCTCCTCAGCACCTGGGGCATAGCCTTTGCTTCTTCCTCACGGATGCAGCTGCTGTGGAGATCTGGCAGAGATGGGGCTGGCCAACAGGACACAGAGTGCTGCATTTTGAATGCTATTCAACTGCAATGTCAATGGCTCCTCAGTCATCTTATAGAAAAGAAAATATTTTAGAAACATTAGGAAATTAATTCAACTAGACTTGGAGCAAAGATTTTGGCTAAAAATTCAGGCTTCAGCCAACATGGCAGGCTTTTGCCAACTCATTGCTTTGGTCCTAGAAGCCAGCAAAAAGAAGAAAAGAGAGCAAGGAAAAAAAAATTCGCTCCGTTGCCCATTAGAATTAATTGTGCTTTTTTCTAAGTCTCATAAATCCTGCCCAAATCACGTCATCAAGCCACAGGGAAACTGAAACCTTGCCCAAGGCAGGAGCCAGCAGAGCTGTTCAGACTCGGAGGGTTGTGCTCAGGGACGAGCTCAAGGCGCTGCAATGCTGTTCTGAGTGGGGACTTTGAGTGGAGAGCATGGTCCTCTGCTCCTCTCTGAATGCCATGAGAGCTGGAGGGGCAAAGCAGCCATTCTCCCCTCACCCCAAGGAGATCTTCATGGGGCTTTTCCTCTCAAAGGGGTGGCTAGAAGGGAGGAGTGGGGTTTTGCAACAGGAAGGACCCTTCCAAGTTTGTTACATTATTCTTTTGGATCGAGTAGGTGGAGGGAAGGAGATTAAAACATGATGTCTGGACTGTGCTCACAAGAATTCTCCATCTTCTTTCTTGTGGTGCTTTGTTATAACTTCAGACAGGAAAACAGACTGTCAGGTGGAGGAAGGGCCTTCTTGCTGATCTCTGCTCTCCTGGATGCAGGGCCATGATGCTTGGTCAGGACACTAGCGGCATCTCCCAGGGAAAAGAGGGCTCTCCCAGCCCTGTCCTGCCAGAGGAGTGCAGAAGGGAGAGCAGAGCTCAGCCTGAAGCGGTGGCTGGCCCTGCACAGGGGCACATTTGCTGTCCATGAAAGAAAGATGTCATGCCACTCCTTGCTGCACCTCCCAACATTCTGCAACACACAGCGAAGCTGAGTGCAGCAGCCCTGTGTGGGCTCCAGCAGTGGCGGTTAGTGCCCATCTGAGGACTGCAACACAAACTGAAAATGGTTGCTTATTTTTACCTGGCTTTTTTTCCCCACCTATAATGCAGGCAAAAGCATAAGGGGGTGATGATTCCCCCCCTGCCAAGGAGCTAGTGGAGCCCCTCAGCTCTGCAGTCCCAGCACTCTGCCCTTTGCGCTCAGTCAGGCTTTTGTCAGACTCATCATTATTTCAGCTGCGTTTTTGCTGCAGAGGAATGCAGGTGTTTCCTCTGCTCCCACAGTGCACCCATGCTCTGATTTCTGAGCGGCTGGGGAGGCTGCTTGTGCGTGTCATGTTGTGCTCAAAGGAGGCATTTGAGGAAAATGTGGATGCAGTTCAGGCAGATGACCAGGGGAACGGCGCATTTGCATGCGCTTGCATGTGAGTGTAATTTAAGCAGGCAATGTGCCGAGCTTGCTTGAAAATCTGGCCCGTGTTTTTCCATTTGTGGGTGTGGGGTTGTTGGTTTTTTTTTTTTTTTTTTTCTTTTTTAAGTTAAGAAAAGGCAAACACCTTGTTCCTTCATTTGATCTGCAATAACCTGAGCTGGTTCCCTTGGAAAGCTTATTTATTCCTCTTGGCTGCTGAAGTGGATGCTGAATTTTGAGCATCCTGAGAAGAGATGGCGCGCAGATGGGGTTCTTTGTTACTGAAGCTTTTGTTGGACAATTATGAGGTTCATTTATATAGCTGTTTATATATTAAAATTGTTGGGTTGCCTGGGGCTACGGATAAGCGCTCCTTGTTTTACATATCTCTAAATAAATATAAAGGCACATTATTAATGGATACAGCTTTAAAAGCAAACACCCAGAGATGCACTTACAATAAGGGGAGGAAAAAGCAAGGTTACATCATGTTGCTCAAAGCCAATTGCTTTGTTTTCTAAAATGTTTCTCTGTAGGACACAGATGATTTTTTTGACTCATTCAGTGTTTGAGCATCCAAAAAGTCTCATGCTTGTTCCAAAATTCTTTCAACAGCATCCCAAATGGCATTAACAGACAGTTACAGTATTTTACTGTCCAGCGTATTCTCTCCTCCCGATGGACTTGTGTTTGGCGGGGAGCTCTGGGAGGGAATATTATATTTCTAGAGAGTGGCATCCCTGGTGAGGAAGGAATTGGCTTTTTGGGGCTTTCCAGTCCACATCATTGTGCAACCTCAGGATGTGTAGCTGCTGCTTGTACAAATGCAGGAGGAGCTCCAGGTGAGCACAGTGAGTCACCAGGAGTCTGAAACCTACTGCTCCCTGTGCCATCCTGCAAATCCTTCAGGTTACCAGGCAGATAGCTAGCTACGGCTGGCACAAGAAAACATCTCTGAACTTCATATTATTATTGGCAGTCATGAATTGGATGTGTGCTCTCCACCACCCCTGTTGCACTGCTGAACTGGGGGTTTTGATCTGCAGGGCTGGTGGAAGACTGGTGCCTCACTGCTCTGGCTGCAGAAAGGATAACGGAGCCTTTTGCTGCCAT